ATTATGCAGACAAGATTTACTCGAATCCTCTGAGAAAAACTAAAGGAGTCAAGCCTAATTTGAGGGAAGGAGCTGGGGTGGAAGAACACAGGTTAGATTTTTTTATTCTTATTACTGTTCTCGTTATGTTGTTGCTATCGTTGCTGTAACAATTTGACCAACGATTTTCCACTATATCACCCCTAAAACTGTCTTTATTTTCACTTTATCGTCAGGCCTGCTGTCAGCCGTGGGTCCACTGCGCCTCCTAAGGTTCGCTCCCAGGAGCACGGCAGGAAGAAAAGACACCATTCTATACAGGTTCGTTGGCTAATCAAGCATCAAACATTGTTTTATAACACACTGTATGTCTGTTTTGTTCTCATGGATAGTTTTAGATATGATCCAATGTTGCTCTCCTACCCGCGGCTTAAGACCCGTGACACTGTGACAGAAACATTAGCAAAGAATACAAAGCAATTAAGCCATGCGTATCACATAGAACATTCACATGAACATAATCACAAGCGCAAGCGTAACGTAATGTAAATACAGAGGAATTAACAAAGAAAACCGCTGTCCTATTTGTCTTCTAAAACACCGGGGCATTCAGCATCCATAGGAACGGGTCTCATGATAAGTTGAGAAAACAATGGACAAACAATAGATAATTCTTCCAACAATAAAACAAAACCTAACCTAACAATAGAGCTGCTGTACTTAAGCAGCAATCAAAAAGCATGTTTCGCGTTTATATTGTACTATTCTTACTGTTCATCAATACAATACAATACAATACAATACAATACAATACAATACAATACAATACAATACAATACAATACAATACAATACAATACAATACAATGAACTTTATTTAAAGAGGGTAACACTTGAGGGTAACACTTCATCTCGTATACAGACAGTTTATGTTGTGATTGACAGGATCTTCAGTTGGACTTTGTGCATGGTTACCGTGGGTTTGATACCAGAAATAATCTGCACTATTTGTCTGATGGTAATGTCATATTCCACGCTGCTGGGGCGTGTGTTGTTCTCAGTACAGCCAATGGCGAACAGTCATTCTACTTGGAACATACTGATGACATCATTTGCTTAGCTGTCAATCAACACCCTAAGTTTAAGGTAAATGTTTTGGTATCAAATATTTCTCATAACAGGCCTCCTGAGTTAGAGTGCACGCCACATAAGTGTGAAACAATTCTTAACTAATTAGTGCCTGGTAAGATTTAGTTATCAACTAATAGATAACTAAAGCTTATAAGTAGTTGATTCTTAAGAATTGTTTCACGCTTTTGTGGTGTGCACTCTAACTGTGTGGGAGAGAGGGAATAATGCCGAGAGCCATGCCTGTTGTCGTTGTACAAGCAAACTAACTCGGTGAAATTTGAAATGCTTTTATTTTAGAACGTTGTAGCCACCGGTCAAATAGGTAACGACCCTGTGGTTCACGTGTGGGATGCTGAAACGAAAGACACACTGTCTGTGATCCAGGGATTGCATACCATGGGAGTATGCGCAGTAGACTTTAGTGCTAGTGGTAAATTACTACTAACAGTAGGACTAGAGGAGTCTCACAGTGTTGGTATATGGAAGTGGACTGATGGTACGTATATACCCTTGCCTACAATAGCCCATTTACACTATGACGTCACAAGACCAGAATGCTTTGCACACTTTCGTTTTTAATTTATTTAGTGTCGATATCAAAAATTGATTTGAGTAATAATAAAATTACGCAAAGTATTGTGGTCTTTGTAGTGAAATTACGCAATCGTGCAAATGGAATATTAATGGATGGATTGATAAGGTCTAGTATTGATTGATTGATTGATGGATGGATGGACTAATTGATTGATGGATTCATTGATTGATTGTTTGATTGACTGATTAATTGATTGATTCAGTGGTCAATTCTGTGCTGTTGTTTGTAATAGGAAGCAAGCTTGCCAGTTCTGATGGACATACGGAGCGTATATTTGACGCGCAGTTCAGACCTGATACAGACAACAAGTTTGTCACTTGTGGAGTCAAACATGTGAAATTTTGGACATTGGCTGGTGGTCAACTTATAGCTAAACGTGGTAACTTAACCACTGGAACCAATGAAAAGCTACAGACGATGTTATCAGTGGCATTTGGAGCGGTAAGATGATCGCTATACAGATGATGATGATGATGATGATAATTGAATTGAATTGATGATGGTTGTTGTGGTGGTGATGATGATGACAATAGTCTCCTTCACGGTTACCTGCACCGTCTTGAAAGGTAGCCGTGCCCTTACATCGAAGCGAGACGACCGTTGAGGGTGCAATGATAGATACCTGTGAATCATTGTCTGTAGGTGTGAAAGAAGGTTTCTATCATTGCACGCTCAACGGTCGTCTCTCTTCGATGCAAAGGCATGGCTACCTTTCAAGATGGCGCAGGAAACCGTGAAGGAGACTACTGAATTGATGATGATGATGATGTTAGTATAGTGATGATAATGATGATTTTTCTGTTCAAAGTGTTGTTCGAGGTTATTTTAAACTAATTCTATACAATTTGTGTTTACTTGTATTTCATTACATGATTATTATTATCTGTTAGCATATAAATCACTTTTCCCCTTCTTTTCTCAGGACAATTTAACGTTCACTGGAGCAATGAATGGTGATGTGTACGTTTGGTCGGGTCACAAGTTAGCACGTGTCGTATCTAAAGCTCACAGCGGTCCAGTGTTTACGATGTACACAACTCTTAGCGATGGGCTGATAGTTTCTGGTGGCAAGGAAAAGAAGTAAGGACACCGCAGTTTTGTGTACACCGAAGTCCTTGTAGTTTCTTTCGGATTTAACGTCTGAAAAGCACCAGTACTCTCTAATACAGATTGCACATCACAAGTAGTTGTTTGAAAGCCGCGTCATTTATTAGATTAAACCAGATCCAGTGGATGTAGATAATAAGTGTTAGCCCTTTAACAACTTGATTCACCTTTCGTAATAACTTGCCCTTTTGTTTTATAATCCCCTGCAATCGTTTCTAATCCGATTCTTATTTACTAGCTAATCATTTCGTTTTGTCTTCCAAAGTGGCGAAGGAGCAACGATTAAACTTTGGGACCAAGAAATGAAGCGATGTAAACCGTTTGCTTTGGGAGGTGCTACTGGTTCTAAAGTCGTTAAATCTGTGTCAAGAGGAAAGGTAAACTTTTGACCGATAATGGATAAGAATGTGCAGTCAACAATGAAAACCTTTGGGTATTGTTTATACCATTCTCTTTTCTTGGCCAGGGTAAAATCCTTGTTGGTACCAAAGACAACGAAATCGTAGAAGTCAACGAGAAGACGGCAAATGCTCAGGTAACATTTTTCTGAATATTTCTGTCAGTAGCTTTGTTTGGTTAGTTGACTATTTTAGTTTGGTTTGTTTGCTTTATTATGTGTTTGTTTGTTTCCAGACTCTTATCCGAGGACATGGAGAGGGAGAGATATGGGGACTAGCCTGCCATCCAGAACGTGACGTCTTTGTTTCAGCAAGTGATGACCAGACTGTTAGATTATGGGACATCACGAAAAAGGTAAGTTCTAGTCATTGACTGACTAATTGATTGATTGATTGATTGATTGATTGATTGATTGATCGACTGATTGATTGANCGTTAGTTGAAAATACTACGTAATAATAATCCTAATATTCCTGATGATATTGTGTATGTGGTTTGTTATAGGTTCAGTCCCGATGGGAAATACCTCGCAGTTGGMTCAGAAGACCACTGCGTGGACCTGTAYGAAATCCAACATGGCCACCCTCTCAAGCGAGTAGGTTATTGTAGAGGAATACCAAGCTTTGTTATTCAAATGGATTTTTCAGCCGATGGAAGGTTTATACAGGTAAGGATGGAAATTTTACACGTGATATCATTGGATGGAAGAGACAAAGACGAGATAGAATTATATTTCATTGATGCGTTGATTGTATGTCCTCGACATTTTATG